CTAAAATAAAGTTATAATTAGTTATATAGTAGCCCTAATTAGGTTCTAGGCTCTTATATAATATTACATGAATAGCTATAATTAATATCAACAACTATAACTAATAAATATAGAAAGTTAGGTTAGGGAATAGACTTATAAGTTTACACTTAATCTTTTAGTTAGTTAGGATTTAATTAACCTTTAAGTAAAAGTGTAATAGACTTAGCCTGTCTTTTAGCTGGGGTAAAGAAAGAAGGCTAATATAGCTGCTAAAAGGCAGTATTAATACTACTTAATTAAGGCAGTAATTATACTATTAAAGTAAATAAACCTTATATAATTTTTACCTTTAAGATATCGGCCTATTATAAAGGCCTTATTATTTAAGCCTTTAAATAAAAAGTTAAAAGCTTAATAGCCTTATTAGGCTAATAATAAGGAAAAAAAATAATAACTATAACCTCTTTTGTTTTTATTTAATTTAAAGCTTTTTTTAAGTAATAATAATTTAAAATATATTTTTTATATCTATAGTAATAATCTATTAATTATATTTTATAAGCTATTTTTTTTACTTTATTAAGTAATATATTTCTTTTTAAATTTTCTTTTTTTTTTAATTCTTTTTACTTTTTATTAATTAATTTTCTTTCTCCCCCTTACTATTAGCCTCATAAGGCTATTAAGCTATTAACTTTATATATAAAGGCTTAAATAATAAGGCCTTTATAATAGGCCTATATCTTTAAGGTTAAGATTATATAAGGTTTATTTACCTTAATAGTATAATTACTGCCTTAATTAAGTAGTATTAATACTGCCTTTTAGCAGCTATATTAGCCTTCTTCCTTTACCCTAACTAAAAAACTAAAATAATACTTAATTAAGTTTATTATACTTCTAAAGTATATTCCCTAACCCTTTAGCTATAGCTATTAATATTAATTATAGCCACTAATATAATACTATAAAATAGCCTATAGCTATATAATTAGGCCTACTATATAACTAGCTATAGCCTTAATATTGCTATTAGGCCTGCCTTATAGGAAGCTAATAAAAAAAAACTAAAAGAGATTTATATAATAGTAGCTACTATTAAAAAGAACTTCTTATTAAGATATTAATTTAACTTAATTAAAATAGCTATCTTTAATTATAATTTAATTAAATTAATCTATTATATAGGCTATTTTAGCTTAGTTAATTTAAATTAAGTTAATAATAAGCTATTAGGTCTAAAAGACCTAAAAAAAGACCTAAAGGAAGGTTATTTTTTTTAATTAAATTAAATAGCCTTTCTTACTGCCTTTATAGGCTTAAATATATATAAAGACTGGCTTCTTAATATAGCTAAAAGGGTTATTATAGTAAAAGAGGTACTGCTTTTAATATAATAGGCTGGTTATAGTCTAAGACTATAAGAGTAAAGCTGGGATAAGTGTAGGGTAATGGCAGGGTTAGACTGAAGGTTTTATTAAAG